CTGGCTGCCGAGGCGGCCGTGCCGACGTGCTGGGAACCCGGGGCCGGGACATACCGAGAGGCTCGAGCCCCCGAGAACCCGCCTCCGAGCCTTCTCCAAGGTAGTCAGGGCTGCCCCTCCAGGGAGGCGGAGATCTGTGTCCAAGAGCCCCACCTCGCCTCGCCTTCCCTGGAGCCCATTCCGTCCCTTGCAAGTCTCCCGTCCCAGCAATCTCTGCACTCCCATCGCCCCCATGGGGAAGGTTGCTTATGGCTGGGCCTGGAGCGGTGACAGCACGCAGCATGCTTTCGCGTGTTATGTTTGGTCCTTTTCCAGCTTGTGACCTTCTAGACCAGGGGCACCGGCTTCTCACCTCTATACCCCAGCACTTCAGCACCTAGCATCGGACAGGGTACTGTCCTTCTTTCCACCTCCCAAGTTCGTAGCCTAAATGCAGGGACTAGTTATCACTCTGCTGAACAAAATCTCAACTCCCTTTCCTCTCCGTTATTTTGAGGGATACAGTATTTTCACGTGGCTAAACCATAACCCTGGTGAGTGCAAGTCTGCCTACTTTACACCTGGACCCTAATCACTAGATGTGTTGGAGAATACCACAGCCCACCTGAGCGGTGTCACTTGACAGTCACAACCCTTAACTCAAGTGGACCCTCACTGCTGCAGCAATTGTACTATATTTCCATGGTCTGTCAGCCTCCCTCTCTCTCAGAGGACTATTCAGACTTTTCTCTCTCCTCAAACCCACAATACCCCATTGCCCATCATCACTCAGTTTGCTTCCTATTTGAGCAGAGGACTTCCTCGGTTCGCAGACTCCTTCTAACCCCCATCAGCATCTGTGCCCAAATCCTCTGCCTTCCCTCCTGTTTTTATGAGTGAATCATCCGTACTCCTAACTAAGAGCAAATGCTCACTTGGGCAGAGATCCCATCCCCTCTCACCCATTCAGCAACAAGGCTCCACTAGTTCTCCCTCCTCTCTCCTGCATTACCAAGCTTTCCCCGTCTACTGGATCATTCCACCAGCATGCAAATATGATGTTATCACTGTTAATAAAGCACCCTCCTGACCCCGTGTCCCCTTCAGCTACTGCTCATTTCATTCTTCTTGCAACAATGGCCTTTGAAAGCACTGTCCATACTTTCTATCACCAATCTTTCTCCTCCATGTTCTCCTGAACCCATCCAGCCATGCTTTGAACCCCATAATGTCACCAAAACTGCAAATTCCATCAGCTTTCATTCATAGTATGTCCAGAATCTCTCACCATCTCCACTGTAACTGTCCTACTTGAGGCCACTGTCATCGCTTGCCTGAAGTGTTGCAATAGACTCTCTGCCTGTCTCCTGCTCTGTCCCAGCCCCCACGGTCAGTGTGACCCAGTGTCACTCCTTAATTCAAAGTCCTCTGATGGCTGCCATCTCTCTCCAACCAAAACCCAAAGTCTTTTATGTGACCTTCAACACCGTGCCTGTCCTTGCCGAACCCCTCTCCTGCCCCTCTCCCCAGGACCCACCTTCTTCAAGCACATTAGCCTTCTGGCTGTTCCTCAGACATTTCAGGCCTGTGCCTCTGCAGGGTTTTGCTGACTGTAATGCTTACCCCTTCCCTTCCCTCAGCTATCCACTCACATGGAACCTCCTCTGGCCATCCAATTTAAAATTGCAAAAAGTGTTTTATTTTTCTTTAGCACCAATTGCTATGTGGTGTATCTTATTTCTTTTCCATCTTCTGATGTCTACCCCAAGAAGGCAGGGATTTTTTTGTTTTTTGTCAGCTGGCCAGTACAAGGATCTGAACCCTTGACCTTGGTGTTACAACACTGTGCTCTAACCAACTGAGCTATCCAGCTAGCCTAAGGCAGGGATTTTTGTCTGTTTTGTTCACTGCTGTCTCCTCAGTACCTGGAACAGTACCTGGCACAAAGTAATTTCTTCATAAATATTTTCTAAATGTTTGACTGAGAGAATAAACAAAACCTACACCCACTCATCTGTCACCTCAGACTTGCTGGAACTGTGCTAGGCCCTGGGAACCAATCACATCCCTCCCCTCAGGGAGCTCACGGTGAAGGGGTAGAGACAACAGAGGGCAGAAACCACATCTAAAGGCACTGTAGTGTTCAGAATTAGTTCTGAATTCAGAACGAACATCGCTACAGCATTTGCTTTCCTCTGCCCCTTAGCATCTATGGGAAAAGGCCTCAGAAACTTCATCACCAAAGAAAGCCTTCACCAGCTGTGTTCCTTGGACTTTGGACTTCCTAGCCTCCAAAACTGAGGAGGCGGAAGCTCCGCAGAGATCACACGCCCTGTGGGGCCGCCATCGTGCGATCCAGCAAGTAGGCTTCACCGCAGCCACCTGGCTCCATCCCAAGCCCGGCCCAGCACGCACGGAGCAGGGAGACGTCCAGCAGGGGAGGTGGAAGCTCGGCAGAGACCACACACCCTGTAGTACCACCCCATGACCCAGCAGCCTGGCCAAGTCCATGCTGACCAGAGAGGTGGCTCCCCAAAGAGGCCCAAGACCCAAGGCAACCACACATGCAAGGCACTAGTGGCCAACTGAGCAGACACTGAGGTAGCCATACCAAATCAGCAACCCCAGCAACATCTTAGTCAGAAAATAGTGTCAAACCTGTGGACTGTGAAACCCCCTGCCACAATGAATAAACATCAAATAAAAGATACCAGAAATACGAAAAATCAAGAAAGTACACCACCAAAGGGTAATATCTCTCAAGCTCTAGATCCTATAGAACAAGAAACCCGTGAAATGTCTGACAAGGAATTTCGAGTGATAATTCTAAGGAAACTGAATGAGATACAAGAAAACTCAGCTAGACAACATGATGAAACGAGGAAAAGTATACAGGACCTGAAAGAAGAAATGTACAAGGAAATCAGTGCCCTGAAAAAAAAATGTAGCAGAGCTTGCCGAAATGAAGAATACATTCAGTGAAATAAAAATCACAACAGAGAGTTTAACCAGCAGGTTTGTGGAAGATGAAGAGAGAACCTCTGAACTTGAAGATGGGCTGTTTGAAATGACACAGGCAGACAAAAAAAAAAAGAAAAAAGAATCAAAGGCATTGAAGAAAATCTGAGAGGGATATCAGACAACCTTAAGCACTCAAATATCCGAGTCATGGGTGTTGCAGAAGGGGAGGAAAAAGGAGATTGCATTGAAAACATATTCAACAAAATAGTGGCAGAAAACTTCCCAGGTATAGGAAAAGTCACAGATCTTCAGATCTAGGAAGCTCAAAGTTCCCCAAACGTATTCAACCCAAAAAGGTCTTCTCCAAGACATGTTATAGTCAAATTGGCAAAACTCAAAGACAAAGAGAGAATCTTAAAAGCTGCAAGAGAGAGGTGTCAAATCACCCATTAAGGGAGCCCCAATCAGACTAACATCAGACTTTTCATCATAAACCCTAAAAGTCAGAAAGGAATGGGATGATATATTCAAAATACTAAAAGACAGAGATTGCCAGCCAAGAATACACTACCCTGCAGCGCTATGCTTCTGAAATGAAGGNCAGAGGGCAGAAACCACATCTAAAGGCACTGTAGTGTTCAGAATTAGTTCTGAATTCAGAATGAACATCGCTACAGCATTTGCTTTCCTCTGCCCCTTAGCATCTATGGGAAAAGGCCTCAGAAACTTCATCACCAAAGAAAGCCTTCACCAGCTATGCTCCCTGGACTTTGGACTTCCTAGCCTCCAAAACTGAGGAGGCGGAAGCTCCGCAGAGATCACACCACCACTGCGTGATCCAGCAGCCCGGCCCAGTGTGTACAGAGTAGAGAGACGTCCAGCAGGGAAGGCGGAAGCTCCGTAGAGACCACACATCCTGTGGGGCCACAGTCGTGCGATCTAGCTAGGTAGGCTTCACCGCCGCCACCTGGCTCCATCCCAAGCCCAGCCCCGTGTGCACAGAGCAGGGAGATGTCCAGCAGGGGAAGGAGAAGCTCCGCAGAGACCACATGCTCTGCAGTGCCTCCGCGCATCCCAGCAGCCCAGCCCAGTGTGCGTGGAACAGGGAGACGTCCAGCAGGGGAGGTGGAAGCTTGGCAGAGACCACACACCCTGCAGTACCACCCCGTGACCCAGCAGCCTGGCCGAGTCCATGCTTACCAGAGAGGTGGCTCCCCGAAGAGGCCTAAGACCTGAGGCAACCACGCATGCAAGGCACTAGTGGCCAACTGAGCAGACACTGAGGTAGCCGTACCAAATCGGCAACCCCAGCAACATCTTAGTCAGACAATAGTGTCAAACCTGTGGACTGTGAAACCCCCTGCCACAATGAATAAACGTCAAAGAAAAGATACCAGAAATACGAAAAATCAAGAAAGTACTCCACCAAAGGGTAATATCTCTCAATCTCTAGATCCTATAGAACAAGAAATCCTTGAAATGTCTGACAAGGAATTTCAAGTGATAATTCTAAGGAAACTGAATGAGATACAAGAAAACTCAGCTAGACAGCATGATGAAAAGAGGAAAAGTATACATGACCTGAAAGAAGACGTGTACAAGGAAATTAATGCCCTGAAAAAAAATGTAGCAGAGCTTGCTGAACTGAAGAATTCATTCAGTGAAATAAAAAACACAGCAGAGAGTTTAACCAGCAGCCTTGTGGAAGTTGAAGAGAGAACCTCTGAACTTGAAGATGGGCTGTTTGAAATAACACAGGCAGACCAAAAAAAAAAAAAAATCAAAGGCTTTGAAGAAAATCTGAGAGAGATATCAGACAACCTTAAGCGCTCAAATATCCAAGTCATGGGTATTCCAGAAGGGGAGGGAAAAGGAGATTGCATTGAAAACACATTCAACAAAATAGTGGCAGAAAACTTCCCAGGTATAGGAAAACTCACAGATCTTCAGATCCAGGAAGCTCAAAGATACCCAAACATATTGAACCCAAAAAGGTCTTCTCCAAGACATGTTATAGTCAAACTGGCAAAACTCAAAAGACAAAGAGAGAATCTTAAAAGCTGCAAGAAAGAAGCGTCAAATCACCAATAAGGGAGCCCCAATCAGACTAACATCAGACTTTTCATCACAAACCCTAAAAGCCAGAAAGGAATGGGATGATACATTTCAAAATACTAAAAGACAGAGATTGCCAGCCAAGAATACTCTACCTTGCAAGGCTATCATTCCGAAATGAAAGGCAAATAGTATATTTCTCCAACAAACAAAAACTGCAGGAGCTCACC